GGTGCATGACTTACTGCCAGCAGCTCCTCCACTTCTCCTAGACTCCGGGGTTCCCTGGAGACTCAGCATCGCTAGTCTGGCCTGCACGCAGGTTAGAGGCCCTGTAGTTCACAGCTGTGTGTGTGTGGGGGGGGCCTGGGGAAGTGGCCCCAAGTCCCACCCCTGGCCCTGCACTTTCCCCAAGCACAAAGGATGCCCCCTGACCCCCATGGGAAGTATCCAAGAATCAATAGGGGTGGCCCCTGTTGAGAACCAGGTGTTTCCCTGGGACCACGGCTCTCTCGTGCTACCCAGACAGGACCCTCAGCCTGGGCCTCAATGACCAGCGGGGCCATCAGCACTTTGTCCCGCTGACCCAGAAAAGGTGCAGGGACAGAGAGGGGCATTGCAGAGACACATTCCTTTTTTTTGTGGGAGGACTCTTTTTCTTTCCTTTGGTTTTCTTTTCTTTCCTTCATTTTTCCCCTTTTTTTTCCCCAAGCTATACTCAGCACTGCTCAGGGCTTACTCCTGGCTCTGTGCTTGGGGGCTGGCTCCTGGCTCTGTGCTCAGGGCTGACTCCTGGCTCTGTGCTCAGGGCTGACCCCTGGCTCTGTGCTACGGACTTACTCCCAGCTCTGTGCTCAGGGGTCCCTTCTAGTTCTGTGCTCGGGGCTCACTCCTGGCAGTGTTCAGAGGATCCTAGGGGGGATTGAACCAGCGAGCACTCACCCTTGCACTGTCTCTGTTCCTGTTTTGGGGGCACCTCGAGTACTTGGGGTCCCTCTGCGGCGTGTTGGGTGTGCTCCTGGTGGGGTGGGGGGAGCCATGGGTGCTGGAGGGGTCCCAGGGCCTCCCCTTGCTGTGCTCCAACCCCCTGGCCTCTCTCTCTCTGCACCCTGACTCAGCGCTCTCTCTGCACTCAGCTCCCAGCTCCCAGGGGCGTGTCCCAGGGGGCTGTCAGGCTCCCTGGGGCAGCCCCCCCCCAGGCTCAGGTGAAAGACGTGAGTGCAGAAGCACCCTAGCCCTACCCGTGCCTCCTCACACGCCTCGGGGGCCTGGCTGCGGTGCAGGGGCGGGTCTGGGAGGGAGGGAGCCGCACCCCTGCCCCACCCCAGCCTCTGCAGCCCCAGCCGCCCCACGTGCCCTGGGCAGGGCTGCCTGTCTGGAGTCTGCCTTGATCCCCAGGTGCCCCCTCTTTCGGGCTGGAGATAAGCCCTGGGCCGACCCCACCGGCCTGGGGTTCCAGGGGCAGCTGCTGTGGGGTGGGGCGTGAGCCAAACGCCTGGGCAGAGCCTCCTGGACGGGCCTTTCCCGCCACCCTGGGTCTCTCTCCTGGTGACAGCCGCCAAGTGCCTCCTCCCTCAATCCTGCCCCTGCCATCTGCTGGGTTTCTGGGTGCTTCCACGGCTGAGGACTCTACCCAGTCAGCCAGGGGTGTTCCTGGAGTCTTTGTGCTTCTAGAATCTTCTAACATCTTCGCCGCCTTCTAGAATCTTCTCCATCCTGTGCAAGCAGGGGTCTAGTTCCATACCCAGATTCATGGGAGTCTGACAGGCCCCTTAGTGAGCGACTTGGAGGGTCCCGTGCACCCTCTGCTGCTTCTCTCCAGCAAACCTCCGTTCCTTCCAAGGCATTTTTCTTTTTCTTTTTCTTTTTCTTTTTGGGCCACACTCAGCAGTGCTCAGGGCTGTCTCCTGGCTCTGTGCTCAGGGATCCCTTCTAATAGGCTCGGGGAACCATATGTGGCATCAGGGATTGAGCCTGGCTGGGCCATGTGCAAGGCAAGCGCCCTCCCCACTGTCCTGTCATTCCAGCCCCTTCCGAGTGTCCCTTTGGGAAATGCCACCCCTTGCCCCCAGGCCTCCACCCCCCAGCCCTGCACACGAACTTCAGGGCTGGCCGCCTTGGTCTCTGCTGCCCAGGGTGGCATACGTCACCCCCCACCGTGCCTCGGAGAAGGGGCTGGCAAATGAGTGAATGGATGAAAACGAATGTCTGATTTCCCTTAGACCCCAGGAGACACTTAGGAAGCATAAAAAAAAATTGGGGGGGGGCTGTGTTTGAACATGTGTATGCATGTGCCTGTGTGCAATCCCCTATGTATGAATATGTTCGTGTGCATGTGTGTCCCTGTGTGAACATATAGCTGCATGTTCTGATACGTGAACATGTGTGTGCCTGTATGCATCAGTGTGTGCATATGTGTTTCTGTGTTAACACACAGGTGCATATTTCTGTGTGTGAATGTGTGTGCTTGTATGCTGTTTTCTGTATGTGTGTGCATCTGTGTTCCCGCATGAACATGTGGACGCATGCTCCTGTGTGTGAACATGTGTGTACTTGTATGTGTCTATGTATATATGAGTTCTTCTGCATACGCATCTACATATGAACATGTATGCTTGTACGCTTCTCAGTCTACGCGTGGATATACTCCTGTATGAACGATCACGATCACGTCCATCCTGTTGTTTGTCGAATGCCTTGAGCAGGCCCCAGTAACGTCTCCTTCGTCCTAGCCCTGAGATTTTTTAAAAAGTGCCATATTCAAGGCTCTTTCAGGGTTAGGAGAATGAGACCCATCATTGTTACTGGTATTTGGCATATTGGGTACGCCACGGGGAGTTTGCCAGACTCTGCCTTATGGGCAGGTTACATTCGGTAGCCTGCCAGGTTGTCAACGTAAGAATGAGATAACATGTGTGAACATGTGTGCATAATCCCATTTGTGAGCATGTATCTGTGTTCTCACATGCAACTCAGCGTCCCTGTGTGTTGCTGTGTGTGAATATGCAGGTGCATGTTCCTGTGTATGCTTGGACACATGCGTTCCTGTTATAACCTTACGTGGTACATGTTTCTTGCGTGAACACAGATGCTTATATAGGTGCATTTCTATGTATGACCATGTGTGAACATGTGTGCTTGTGTGTGTGTGTTTCTGTGTATGACCGTGTGTGACCTTGTGTGCTTGTATGTGTGTGTTCCTGTGTGCGACCATGTTTGCTTGTCTGCATGTATTCCCGTGTAATACCATGTGTGAATGTGTGTGCTTATCTGCGTATGTTCCTGTGTATGACCATGAGTGAAATTGTGTGTTTGCATGTGTGTGTTCCTGTGTACGACCATCTGTGACTGCTTGTGCTTGTCTGCGTGTGTTCCTGTGTGTGACCATGTGTGACCACATGTGCTTGTCTGCATGTGTTCCTGTATGTGACTGTGTGTGACCGCATGTGCTTGTCTGCATGTGTTCTGTGTATTCTGTGTATGTGCACGTGTGCAGAGTCAGGGCAGCGTGTGTGAAGGCTGGCGGGGCACGCCAGTCGCGGGCACCCAGGAGGCCCTGGAGAGAGTCAGCACTCGCCCAGCGGGGCTGCGCCCTGCCGGGAAGGGCTGGCGGATCCCACGGGTGTGGCCATGGCTGGGCTGGCAGCGCCGTGCCCAAGGCGGGCAGCGGGGCGGGCTTGCCAGGGCAAGAAGAATGGGGTTTCTGTGCTGCTTATCAGGACGGCGGCCCGGGCAGGACGTGGGGGCGCCTCGGCGGGGCCTGGGATGCCACAGTCAGCGCCATGGCGCCAGGCTCAGTCCTGTGTCCGCGCCCCACGGCAGGCGGTGCTGGGGCTAGTGGTCCAACCACCAAGATCCCTGTCCAACGCCAATAGCCAGTCAGGCACCTGGGCCCGCTCCCTGGGGGAACTGGGGCTGGGGGCTTGGGCTGGAGGGTCACGGGGGTCTGAGAAGGCAGCCAGGGTTCTGTCCCTGCACCAGGAGTTGGGGGACTCAGGATCAGGTGCAACTCTGAACCCTACAGGGGGAGCTTCTAGAATAAGATGCTTCCTTTCTGCCCTCCTCGCCCGCCCACCCCCCCCAGTGTGTCCCAGCCCCCTGCCCACTTGTCCCAGTCCACCAAGTGCCTTGACACTGGGCAGGGTCCACTGCTGCCTCTGACCATTGGAAATCTGGCCTCAAGGCTCGACTCCTGCTACCATGATGGGGAGGACCCGGAGGGGGGTCATCCTGGGGCCTCTGGTTCCCCCACAGCAATTATTTCTGTAGCTGCTGAAGTATCCGGGCAAGTCAGCCAACAGCCACCTCATCCGGCCCGCCACCTGCCCTTGTCAATGAAGTTTTATTGGCACATTCACTTGTTGACAGAGTCCGCCAGTTACAGCTGGGGCCCTGAGGATCCCGGGCCACTGGCAAACTGGCCCATGCAGCATAGGGCTGTCACTGCATTCCGGAGTGAGCTGAGACATTTCTTGCGGCAGTGGGCATGCTCAAGGCTCCAATTTCTCGGGGCGTCGGGAGTTACCACCTCTGTACCCTCTCCCGGCCTGGCACTGGGCAGTGGCCAAGTCATGCAGCCCCTTATGTTCTAAGAAGGCAGGAGGGGGGGATCACAGTGAGCTCCTAAGTGTCCAGAGGGTGCTGTGGTCACTCTGAAGGGTCCAGCGCCTTGGCTCTTCTTGTTCTGTTTCTGAGGGCACTTTAAAAGGATGCATGAACGTCCCTCCCCAGGAGAGGGGACCCTGGGGGGGAGGGGTGGGCTGTCATCAGTGGATCAGTGGAGAGGCCTATCCTCCACCTCCTCCCCCTCACCATCCCTCCCGCACCCTGACTGCCCCAGGACCTCTGGCACCCTTCGGCTGCCACCTTTCATTTTTATTTATTTACTTTTGGGTTTTGGGGTCACACCTAGCGATGCTCGGGGTGCTCCTGGCTCTGCACTCAGGAATCACTCCTGGTGGTGCTCGGGGGACCCTATGGGATGCTGGGGATGGAACCCCCATTGACCGCGTGCAAGGCAGACACCCTCCCTGCAGTACTCTCTGTCACTCTGGTCCCTCGCCTTTCATTTTTCTTTATTTTTGATTTGGGGGCCACACCCAGCGACGCTCAGAGGATACTCCTGGTTCTGTGCTCAGGGAGCCCTCCTTGGGGGACTCAGGACTGCCGGGTCTCGAACCCAGGCCGCCTCCCACTCCTCCTCCTTGCCTCAACTGCCTTCTCTCTTCCAGGAACCTGGCGCTGGGGATGGGCATCCAGAACTTCCCCGAGGGCCTGGCCGTCAGCCTCCCGCTCCGAGGAGCCGGCTTCTCCACCTGGAGAGCCTTCTGGTACGTGCCTGCGTGACGCTGTCTGCGCCGGGGTGGGGGTTGGGGGTCCGGACTCGGGGGGATATCAGCCCCTGCCCCCACCCCCACCGGGCCCCCACATAGGCGCGGGAATGCGGGGCCTCTGCCCCCGGCAGTGGGCACCTGGCATCACCCTCAGCCTGTGTCACCCCTCCTGGACCTCTTTCCTGCCACCTCCCCCTGCCCCCGACAAGGTGGAATCACAAAGCCCCACCCCCACCCCCACTCCTTTGCCTGGGTGCCCTGACTGGGGCCAGCAGGCCAGGCAGCTTTTTTTTTGGGGGGGGGGGTACATCCTGAAAAATCAGACTGGAATGAGAATTTGTTTTGCAGGGGTGGGGGGTTGTGTTCTGGGTACCCCTATCCTGGCCAGCTGACCAGGCAGCTTTTTTGGGTGCAGCCTGTGCCTTGGCCTGGTCACCCCAAATCCAGTCGGGAATGAGAATTTGGTTTATCAGGAGGAGGGAGGCGGGGGGGGGGGAGGGTTTATTGGGCTATACCCAGTGGTGCTCCTGACTCTGTAATCAGGAGCAACCCCTGCTGGTGCTCAGGGGAACTGAACCAGGGTGGCCGTGGGCCCAGCCAAGCGCCTTAACCCCCTCTCCGGCCCTTGGCAGAGGGATTCCCCGCCCCCGCCCACGGGAATCATTCCCAAATGGGCTCCAGAGGCCCAGGGTCACCTCGCTGATGCTCAGGTCGATGTATGGGTTTGAGAGTTGGGTGCTAAGCCTAGCGGTGCTCAGGGGCCACCCCCAGGGTGGGGGCAGGGCGGGGGGTGGTGCCCACTCTGCGGATCCTCACAGTGGGGTCCAGCTCGAGCCTTGCCCCAGCTGGACAGAGGCCCTGCCCAGAGCCCCATCAGGGGCTGGGTTAAAAGTCCCGTCCTGGGGGCCGGAGCAATAGCACTGTGTGTAGGGCGTTTGCCTTGCACGCGGCCGACCCGGGTTCGATTCCGAGCATCCCATATGGTCCCCTGAGCACCTCCAGGAGTAACTCCTGAGTGCAGAGCCAGGAGTAACCCCTGTGCATCGCCAGGTGTGACCTCCAAAAAGCAAAAAAAAAAAAAAAGTCCCGTCCTGCTGTCTGTGAGGCACTGTCCCCTCGTCGTGTCCCCCGGCTCGCGCTGGACAAAGTGACAGTCAAATGTGCAGGCTCTGGGGGCTTGCACAGGGCGGGGAGAGACACAGTGTCTCTGGCCAGGCTTAGCTGTCAAGCGCCTGCCCAGCATGCGTGAGGCCCAGGTTCGATATCAAGAAAAAGGTGGGGGTGGGGGGCGAGGGGGAATCTCTCAGGCAGCTCTCTGTGCCCCTGTCCCATCCTCTATCCTGAGCCTCCAGCGTGGAGAAAGAGTGAAAAATCAAAGTCCCTGTTTCTGGAGATCCGCCTTGGGGCCCCAGTGATCCCTCTCACACCCCCAAGGCAGCGCGCCCCCAGTGCTGGCTTTTTTTTTTCCCTTTGGGTCACACCTGGTGATGCACAGGCATTACTCCTGGCTCTGCACTCAGGAATTACTCCTGGCAGTGCTCGGGAGAACATATGGGATGCTGGGAATCCTTGGGTTGGCTGTGTGCAATGCACCTCCCTGCTGTGCTCTCACTCCGGCCCCCACGTGCTGGCAGAAATGTGCCTGAACCTCCTTCCCGCCTCGGCCCCTTCAGGAGAGTTTCCACTTGGGTCCCAGATGAGGGAAGTGGAACTCGGCCCCCCGTTGCTGTTCGTGGGGGCCAAGTGGGCCTCAGCCTCGGCAGAAGGGAACCCCTTCCAAAGGGAATTAGATGCTGCCTGAACCCCCAAACCTACCCAGAGCCACAGTCCTTGGGAAGTGTCCCTGGTACCCCTCACCAGCGCCTGATTTTTCAAGACAGAACAGGAGCCAGAGGGAGGCTAGCCTTGCACACAGCTCGCCCAGGTTCTATCCCTGGCACCACGTGGGTACCCCAAGTGTGGCCAGGAGCCCTCCCCCCCCCCAAGCATCACCAGGTGTGGCCCCCAAACCAAGAAGAAAAATAACAGCGTCAGGAGCCCCCGATCCAGACTCCTGACCCGGGGGGGCCCTCCTGCTGGGAGCACTGGGCTGTGGGAGGAGGGAGTAACCGTGCAAGTTTCAACACTGAGGTCCCCACCCTAGGAACTTCCTGCTCGGGGAGCCAGGTGGGGGGGTTGTCGGGTTCGGCGGGCGTGACCCATCCACAGAGCTGGCAAGGGGTTGGCAGCGCGGGAAGGAGGGGAGACAGGGGAGAGGCTGCTGGGTATGGGGCTTCAGGGTGACGAGGATGTCGGGAATCTGTGGGGATGGTTGTGTTACCCCTGAACTTCAGGGCTGCACCCGGGGGCTGGAGGCGGGGAGGGCATTCCAGCAGGGTGCGTGCAGTCTGGCTCGTCCGGGCTGTGGCTGCAAACAGAAAGACTCGAAGAAACTCAAAAGGCCCGTGGGAGAGGGAGGAAGGGGAGGGCCGTGGGGACAGCTGTGGGTGGATGGCGAGTTGGAGGAGAAGGTGCTGGAATGAGAGGGGGCGGGAGGAAGGGGTCCAATACGTGCTCCCAGGTGGCTGGGATCGACGAGCCCGGTCCTCGGGGCAGTGTCCACCTGCTCACTGGGCTGGCACTTGTCTGTCCTCCCACAGGTACGGGCAGCTGAGCGGCATGGTGGAGCCCCTGGCGGGCCTCTTCGGAGCCTTCGCCGTGGTGCTGGCTGAGCCGCTGCTTCCCTACGCGCTGGCCTTTGCCGCGGGCGCCATGGTCTACGTGGTCATGGACGACATCATCCCCGAGGCCCAGATCAGGTGGGCGAGCTCCCTGCCCCGCTGGCCGTCCCTGTCTCTGGCTCTTCCCAGCGCTGTCCCCCACTTTCCGTGTAACACTGTCCTCTCAGGGACTTCTAGAATGAAAGGGACAAGGACGAACGGGTTGGGGGGGGGGGGGACGGGGAAGGTGGCGGGTGACCCTCGGCAGTAACATACATCCCAGGTGATTTTGTTTATTTTCACCCATTTTCTCTTACATGTTCTCTGTCGACAGGTAGAGAAAAGCTGGGTGGGCTGATGGGGGATGGATGAATATGGAGCTGACAGATGGGGATGGATGGACACAGACGGACAGACAGATCATAGGGATGGAGGGTGGGTGGATAAGTTGATGAAAAATGAATATGGATTTGATATGAATGGTTAGATGGATGAGTGGTGCATGGGTGGATGGATGGGTGGGTGGATAGATGGATGGATGGATGGATGGATGGATGGATGGATGGATGGATGGGTGCATGGATAGATGGATGGATGGATGGGTGCATGGATGGATGGGTGGATGGATGCATGGATGGATGGGTGGATGGATGGGTGGATGGATGCATGGATGGATGCATGGATGGATGCATGGATGGATGCATGAGTGGATGGATGGGTGCATGGGTGGGTGGATGCCTAGATGCAGGGTGAAAGCATGGATGGATGGGCAAAGGGGTAGACAGGTAGACAACTTGCTACATAGATCCATATATGATGGATATAGATGAATGCATGGATGGATGGATGGATCCATAGATGAGTGCATGCATGTGTTGATGGGTGGATGGATGCATGGGTGGGTGGTGGATGCTTGCGCGCATGGATAGGTAGGTAACTTGCTACATAGATACGTATATGATGGATGGGTGGATGAATGGGTGGGTGGGTAGATGACTACATAGAGGATGTGTGTGACTGGATGGATGGATAAATCTGTGGGTGGATATGCCTATGTATGTACGGGTGGCAGATAACCACGTAGATACCTAGATGGTGGATGGATGATGGGCAGGCAGATCCACAGAAACATACATTGCTCAGGATGCAAGGTTAAGAGCTGATTGGCTGATGACAGATATTTCACGGGCACCTGTTCACATTCTGTATTTGTGTATGTGCCTGTTCCTACTGAGCTGTTAGCCCAAGTTTCACACCCATTTGTCCAGCTACACACCAGGTGCCGCTCAGGGCCTGTCTGCTCGGACTCTGTGCTCGGGGGTCTCTCAGAACAGTGCTCCGGGGGGGGGGGCAGGAGGCACCGGGGATTGAGCTGGAGTCGGCTCGGCTGCGTGTTTTGCTCCTCCCAGCAGATGGCTTTTGAGGCCAGTTTGCTGGGTCAGATTAAATCCTGGCCGCAGGAGACAGCAAACACTGTTTGAGACTCAGACCTACAGAACCGTGGGAGTAACCTTGAGCAAGTGGCTTCTCAGGGCCTCGGTTTCCCTCCTGGTAACTGGGAAGGGTGCTAGTGTCACTCCCAGAGGCTGATCCTCTGGGCTGGCAGGCAGAGATCAGTTTCCCTGGCCTGGAGTGAGTTTGGGAAATGTGCCTTGTTGGAACCTCCACCTGCACCCAGGGGCTAGACACGGGGCTGGCGTTTTCTCGGCAGATGTGGGGGTCCCCGGGCATCTCCAGTCTGACGGTGCCTCCTCTCCTTCCTTCCTTCTAGCGGAAATGGGAAGCTGGCGTCCTGGGCCTCCATCCTGGGCTTCGTGATAATGATGTCGCTGGACGTCGGCCTGGGCTAATGCTGGGGACCTGTGGAGCCCGGCAGGGCAGCCTGAGGAAACCGTGTGGAAAGCATCTCCGGCCACAAGCCTCTTCCTTCGCGTCCCAACCCCGTTTTCCTTTCCCTCGCCTTTCCACCTCTACCCGGTGGGCTCTGACCCCGGCGCCGTCTGACCCGACCGTGGAGGGAGGACGTGGCTTGCTCTCGATGTCAATGGCCATGGCCCCCAAACGGACATGCTCCCGGTGTGATGACCGGACTCTGGGTAGGGGCCCTTCCCAGGGCAGCCTCCACCTCCCTTGCTGGACATAGCGGCCACTCCTGTAGGCCCCTGGTGGACACGAGCAACCTTCGGAGCCTTTTGGGTGAGGGACTTGAGCAGAAGGACCAGCACGTCCCCCCAAGGTTGGCCTTGGTGCTCCTGCCCCAGTGCTCCACTTCCTCTCCCAGGCCTTCTTTATCCCCCACGCGCCCCAAGACCCAGAGCCAGGGTGGAAAAGCAGCGTCCCTCTTGTGCTGAATGCCCAGGCCGAGACGCAGGGCGGGAGGATGTCTGCACCCAGAGCTAGAGCATCCTGGGCAAAGAGGGGGGTTCTGGTCAGCACCCCCTGTTCACCATGAGCACGGTGGTCATTCCTGCCTCCCAACCTCTCGAGATGTGTCCTTGGAGAAGTTCATTGTCTTCGTTTTGTCAAGAGGCTGGGGTTCACCAGCCAGCAGCTGGAATCTCAGCCTCCTTCCATCCTGGTACACGGGTTTAACCGAGATTCGCTAGGTGGGGCTTCCCGGAGGTGCGGGGACAGTGGCTGGGGTTCCGCTTGGTAATTTGTGAATTACTTTTCTCCGAAGCAGACTCTGTGGGAGTCTGCCAGGGAGCAGGGGCAGGGCAGGGCAGGGCAAGGAGCTGGTTCAAGGGAATTGTAGATGCTGTGACCTCTGGAAAGGGGTGGGGGGGACACTCCATGCCTTCTGGGAGCCCACATTCGTCGTGCGGTTCCCCTGGCAGGGGGAGCATAGCCCATTACTGCCAAACGTGGCGCAAGCCTGCCATCCTTCTCCTTCAGAGAGCCATCTGGGCCAGCCCTGGGCATCCTTTGCCAGGCAGGCTGCCCGTGAGCCAGCCCTCTGGGCGCTGTGTGAGCCACGCTGGTGCCCCTAGTTCAGACACTGATCTGCTTCCCAGGACAGAGACCTGCTCTGTGACTGCTGGGGGGACCCCCACCCTTGCCCGCCTTCCGCGGGGTCCCTGTCCCCTCTTCCCAAGCTCTGTTGGCTGAAGGCACAGATCAGGCTTGATGGATGCGGTAGTGTGGCTGGTGGCGGACTGGGTGTGGGTGTGACTCTGTCTGTCCCTCGACACGCTGCAGACCTCTTTCCAATGGACGAGACCTCATGACTGTGATCAATAAAGGGTATATTGTGGGCACTCTGCGTCCCGTGGGGTCTTTCTCAAAGCTCCGCCTTTCCGGGACTGGTCATCAAAGGTTCAGATGCCTGGCCTGCACCATGTCAGTCAGAAGAGAGGCCAGGGAAGCAGGGCTGGTTACAGGACAGCACCTTGACCATCACCACGACCATCACCTTGACCATGAACATCACCACAGTCATCACCACAACCATCACCTTGACCATGACCATCACCACAACCATCACCACGACCATCACCACAACCATCACCATGACCATCACCTTGACCATGACCATCACCACAACCATGACCCCCACCATCACCTTGACCATCCCCATCACTCTGACCATCACCTTGACCATGAACATCACCACAGTCATCACCACGACCATCACCTTGGCCATGACCATCACCACAACCATCACCATGACCATCACCTTGACCATGGCCATCACCACAACCATGACCCCCACCATCACCTTGACCATCCCCATCACTCTGACCATCATCTTGACCATGAACGTCGTCACCATAACCATCACCATGACCATGACCATCACTACCACCATGACCATGACCACCACCATGACCATGACCACCACCATCCCCATCCCCATCCGCATAGCAGAACATGAATGAGAACTATTGAAGGGAGACTCTGGGGGAGCTCCCAAGCTCTCTAGGCAAATCAGGCTTGGAAATGGGGTTGGCAGAGCACTTACTTTGCACACAGCTGACACAGGTTCCATCCCCAGCACCTCCGAGCTTGCCAGGAGCGATCTCTGAACTCAGGGCCTGGATTTAGCCTTGAGCACTGCCAGGTGTGCCCCCCCCCCAAAAAAAAAACTGAACAAACAAAAAACAAAGGAAAAACATTAATGAAAAGAAAATGTGTTGAGGGGCTGGAGCGATAGCACAGCGGGTAGGGCAATGCCTTGCACGCATCCAACGTGACCGACACAGGTTCGATTCCCAGCATCCCATTATGGTCCCCTGCGCACCGCCAGGAGCAATTCCTGAGTGCATGAGCCAGGAGTAACCCCTGAGCATCGCTGGGTGTGGCCCCAAAAAAGCAAAAAAAAAAAAAAATGAGTTGAATCCAAGAGAACTAGAGGTGTGGTATGACATGAGCTGACACCCTTCAAAAGTCAGCATTTGGGCATCATGTCCCTTCCCTTCCCCCCCTCGTCCCCCCACTCCCCGTGCTGGTCACTCCAGCCCGCTGCCCTCGGCACATGGAGGTGCCCTGCACAGTTTGGAGCCTGCAGAGCTCAGATGTGTAACCTGTGAGTTCCAGCCCTGTCCCTCTGTGGGACACGCTCAGATGGGGGGGCTTAGATTCCTGACTGGGCTCATTCCAGTCCCGTTCTCCTTGGGCTCGGTGGCTCCCATTGGCTGCATTTCCTTTGTGTTCTCTTTCAGAACCCTCCTCAAGCACGATAGACCCCCCCCACAAACACACCCCCTTCCAAATGGAGCCACCCAATGCCCCACCCTCCCTTCCCCCTGGGCTGAGCTGCCCTTTCTCACATCCAAGCACAAGAGCACTTGCCTTGCACATGTGAGGCCCAGGGTCGCACATCCTGGCCCTGCACGCAAGACAAACTGACAGAAATTTCTCAACTATCACAGTGCAGCAGGGAGGGCGTTGCCTTGCAAGCAGCCAACCCAGGTGTGATCCTCGGCACCCCATAGGGTCCCCTGAGCACCGCCAGGTGTAATTCCTGAGTGCAGAGCCAGGAGTCAACCCTGAGCATCCCAAGGTATGTGGCCCCTGAACAAAATACAAAACTAAACCCGAGTGAAGAAAGGAGCATGCAGGTTAAGACTGCAGGCAGTGATGGTGCAGCCGGGGCCATCCTGACACCAGGGGGTGTTTTTGATGGAGGAGGAGTTCCCAGGGCAGAGCTGGAGAGAGGATGTGGAAGGGGCAGATGGCCCACCCGTGTTCCATTCCTGGTACCCCATAGAGTCCTTGAGTGCTGGCAGTAGTGACCCCTGAGCATAGAGCCAGAAGTAAGCCCCGAGCACTGCCGGTGTGGCCCCCAAATAAAATCACACACCCAAATGTGTGAGCGATAGCACAGTGGTAGGGCGTTTGCCTTGCACGCAGCCAACATGGCTGACCCGAGTTCGATTCCTCCGCCCCTCTCGGAGAGCCTGGCAAGCTCCCCATGACGTATTCGATATGCCAAACACAGTAACAACGAAGTCTCCAATGGAGACGTTACTGGGCCCGCTCGAGCAAATCGATGATCAACGGGAGGGCCTTTACTTTTACCCAAATGTGCAGGAGGTGTCAGGCAAGGAGGGTGCTTGCTTTGCACGTGGCCGACCTGGGTTCAATCCCCGGCATCCCATATGGCCCCCTGTGTACTGCCAGGAGTGATTCTTAAGTGCAGGGCCAGGAGGAACACTGAGCATCGCTGGGTGTGACCCCAAACAAAACAAAATCCAAAACTCTGAACTTGAGTCCAAAGGCAAGAGCAGGGGGTCCTTAGTACAACCGAGGCAGCCCTTCTCTTCGTTCCAAGCACCACATACTGGCTTTAAAAAGAGGGGTCAGAGTGATAGCACTGCGGTTTGGGCATTTGCCTTGCACACGGCCGACTCGGGTTCGATCCCTGGCATCCCATATGGTCCTCCAAGCACTGCCAGGAGAGATTCCTGAGTGCAGAGCCAGGAGGAACCCTGAGCATCACTGGGTGTGACCCAAAAAGAAAAAAAAAGTTCTCGCTGTCACTGTGAAAATATTTCTTCTGCACATGCCAGTGAAAATCAGTGAAGAGGTTCATCCCAGCACTTACCAACGCCCAGCTGAGTTAGTGCCTGCCTCCCCCTCCCCCCCATGCTGGGGGGAGTAAGGGCTGAGGCAAGAATTCAGGGTACAGTGCGGGGGGGGGGGGGGTGGGGGGGGGGCGGGGTCCAGGTGTGGATGCTCCCTGCCATGCCCCTCTGGCTGGAGAGAGGGTGTGGGACCCAGGGGGCCCTCCTGGGGGTAGGGGATGGGCACGCCATCTTCCCTATCCCCCGGCTCCTGGGCAGTTTCGGTGGCACCCAGTGGCCACGCAAGTAGTCAGTGGAATGGAGGGACCCAGGCCTAGTGGCGTCCTTGGGAAGCCCCGCCCCAGGGGGAACCGGTCTTGTCACAGGCAGCTTTCTTCATTCGCAAACACGTTCGTTCCTTTGCTGAAGCCGGGCAGCCTCGAGGCTCTATTTATTGATTTGTTTCGCCTCTGGGGTTCCTGCCTTGCGATTTGGTTTTGAGACTCCCAGAGAAACATGAAATACGGCCCTTAATCAGGGAAAATTGAGTTTATACGTCGCTTTATCTTCATGTGATTTCTGGGGCCAGGACCTCCTGCTCGTGAGGGTTTGCTCCATGCTCCGAGCCCTGGCGGGCCCCTCCCTTCTAGTGGCGCTGGGAAGGGGGGGCAGGAGAGGCAGGGAGGGATGAAATGTTTCCCCGCTCTAAGATGTGCACCCACACCTGGGGCCACGCCGGGGCCTCCCAGCTCTGCTGTCTCTCCTCTCGCTCCCTCTTGCTCTCTCCCTCTCTCCCTCCTTCTCTATCCCTCTCCATATCTCCCTCTCCCTCTCTCTCTGTCTCTCTTCCTCCTTCTCTCCCACCTCTTCCTCTCTCCCCCTCCCTCTCTCACCCCCAGGGCCCCCGAAGAGCCGCCTGCCCTGCCCAAGTGCTGTTCCTGGGGCGGCTCCTGGCCCTGGCAGGCGCCTGGCAAGCAGCCGAGGGCGGGCCGGGTGCGGGTGCGGGTTCAGCGCTGGGGGCGGCTGTTTACCTGCTGGGTGGGGGTGGGCGGGGGTGGCGTGTGCAGGGCTTGGCACGCAAAGGGACACCCGGCGACCTGCTTGCACCCCAGGGGACACCTGGGGACCTGCTTGCACCCTGGCTTGGGCCCCTTTCCCCCTCCCCCGCCCACACCCGCTCTCCCATGCCCCCCAGGGGCCCCGTGGCTATTGGCAGGCTAATGGTTAGCTCCTGGATGGGGCTCGTCCCAGGACCCGCTCTGGGGGTCTCTGAGGCCAGACCACGGGCAGAGCAACACCAAGAGGGAAAGGGGGTGTCAGGAAATCTCGAAGGATGCGGGAGAGGGGTGTTTAGCAGCTCCCTGGAAGCCTCAAGGATGGGGGGTGCGCACAGAGGCAGGAGAAATAGGCTGAGACCCTCCCAGCCCCCCGCAGGGCCCGGCTGCCCCCACCCTGCCTGCCTTTGGAGTCTGCACCCTTCCTCATCAGAGAGGGGGTCCCGCCTGGCCACCACAGGAAACTCAGCAGCTTCAGCTGGGGTCACGGCCCCAGGACCCCCAGTGAGCCTGGGGACCCCTTTCCTGGACATGGACAGCCTACTTCCTGTGGGCCTGTCCCAGCCTCTTTGCACCCAGTGGCCCTCCCTTCGATGAACAGATCAGATGGGAAGTCAGGGGGCTTCTTTCTGACACCCCTTCCGTTCCACCACATGCTCTGATCTGGGCTCTGCAGG